CTTTTGAGGACGTAAAAGACAAGCTTCCGCAAAAATATAAAGGCAAGAGTATACTTGGAAAGTGAGTATAAAAAGAATATGAATAGACTTGAGCTGATATGTTTCTGTGAGGAACTTCGTCATACTATAGAGATAATGTGTGATATATTCAATAATCACAAAAAAACTTTTACAAACGAGCTATAAGAGTAAACCTTATCCTTTATACTGATAATACAATTGAATTGTAAACAAAATAAAAACATAGAACAAACCTTATATAAACATGAACATATTGAAAATCTTGCATTTGAAAGATTTCGTTTCCTACAAAGTATACAGCAAGAATTGTTAAATAATACATTCTCTCTCTGTATGTATCTGTACATTGGTGTAACTCTTGATAGCTGATCATAACCACTCTTGCTCTATTTAGGCGCGAAAGCTTTTGACTAACAAAGGCAACTAAATATGCTAGTATAGTTAAGAGTGTGAATGGATCGACGTTTTGTGTCGGTGAGTTTAATTTTCTACTTGTTTTATACATGATTGTACGTTTTAAATTGAAAAGTTTATTTCAGCCAGTAGCCAATTCCATATGGGAATCTTGTCATACCGCGAGTTGCAAAATTCGCGAAAAGTGAGATATAATTTAAAATTGTTTTTAGTTGAATTCTTAATTTAGGCTGGCGGACATGGATAAGGAAACGAGAGAAGTGATGGATGAAACCTTACTAGGTGGCATCCATCGTTTCGATGAAATGCTCAGGAACGAGGGAGGTAAGCGAACGTTTTGCAAATTTTAAAATAAATTATGTGTTTAGTAAGAACTCGTATGAATAATTGGCATAGCCACACATCAAAGCAACATTTTGCTGAAGCCAATCTACTCGGAATGGACTTTTTGAGGAAACTGGAATTGGCGATTGTGCCTGATTGGAGAAATGATACTTTCCAGTTGATCAGAATCTAATTGAGTCAATGGAAAATAAAATGTTAGATTGCCTTCTCTGTTCTCAGTGTATTTATTTATTTTAAACAGGGGAGTGTCCTTCGTTTCCAAAATCCTACCTACTTACAAGTACTTTGTTTATTCTTTGATTAACTATGAGTGAGAAATCCTTTTAATAGTGTAGCTCTTTCATGATCAATAACATTTTCAACCTCCTACTATCCATATTATACGTTGCTCTCTCAAATGAGAACATTGGACCCTTATTGGTGCCATACGCAAAGCACACTCAGTGGCGGTAAAATTCGGGGACAATGAGCCGTTTGAACTCAAAACTGGTCAGTTTACTTTGACGTTATGACTTACTTGTTTGAATTCTGTT